AAGTATTTGCTATTGACTGTTCAAATGCGGAGTTTTGCGTGTGTGAGTGTGTGTGTGTGTGTGTGTGTGTGTGTGAGGGGAACAGGGTCACATCATAGGAGAGTGAACTGTCTGTCAGAAATCATAGCACGTCAGCTGTCTTAACCGCGGCTTGTGTACTGCATCATCACTGTGTCTGTCATGCTACTCTGTTGCCCTTTCGGGCTTGAACTAATGGTAAAACTAACATTATTAACTGTCTTGATATTTACTTTGAAAGCTGAAGCTCGCGATTATGGTAAGGGGCGTTACATTTCCGACGCGCGCTTGTGGTGTTCGGCCAATCACAATGCACTGGGTCAGCTGGCCAATCAGAGCAGACTGCGCTTGTCAAAGGAAGGGGCTTTGTTGAAAACGACGTGTTTGAGAGAGGCGGGGCATAGAGGACCTACAATAATGTACAGTATTTGAAAAATAATGTGTTTTTTGAACATTAAAGCATTTCAACATATTCTGTTACACCAAATACACAAAATAATGATCTTTAAAATAGCATCATATGACCCCTTTAAATTACCAAACAGAGTCTGTACATTAAAGTTGCTGTACGTTTTGATCCTAACTTCTGGACACCCAGTCACTATATCAGCCCAACTCTCTCGAAGCACCCGCCTTCCTCCCAAAACCCCACCCACTACGCGTCATTTAACAGTGTCACTCAAAATGACTGACAGGCAAGAATGGCTTTGCGATTGGCTAAAAAGTGCAGGCTGCTTTTGATTTGCTGTGTGTGCACAGATCCTAGCGCAGGTGAGATTTCCAGGCAGGAAGTAGTAAGATTTTACGCGTGGCTTTAAACAAAAGGTCTTTCAGCACATTAAGTGTTTCGAGCTGAATTAATTGCCGAAAGCTGTGGAGAAGCAGAAGACTGAAGTAAGCGGATAAAGCTGTGTGTGTCAGTAGGGGGCGCCTGTCCGCTCGTGGAGAGCGCCGGTGACGTCTCGCGCTCGCAGCGCAACAGAGTATCGGAGCGAGACGCGGAGAGAGAGCATGGAGCGCGCGGATCGTCTGGAATAAGAAACATTTCCCAACACTTTCAAAAACTTTCTCAACTCGGCAGACAGATATGGATACCATCATTTTGAGCATATTACTCCTGCATACGGCGTTTGGAAGCGCACGAGCCCAGTACACACCCGGTAAGTGCCTAAAGATTCACCTTTAACGATCCCCGCGGCGGAACGAGCAAAAGTTTCCATGGCTGTTGCTTTGAATGCGTGCGCACCTTTCCACCTCACAAGTTCATCTGTGTGTCCAGGTGGCCCTTCTGGCAGTTAATGAGTGAGGGGTGCGGATGATTTGGGCTGGTTTTGTGTGAGAGAATAGGGACGCGCAGTGAAAGTCTTCCACCGAACCCCGTTAACACCTCCTCAGCGGTCCGCTCGGGATTTCTGTCGTGGTTCCAATGGGAAATGTATTCCTGTCCAACTGCACAAAAACTAGATTTAATTTCTAATGACTCGACGAATGGTTCTTCTGTAGGACATCACGGGGAATGCAAGGAAAATCTGCGAGGGTTTAACACTCCTAAACCTCCTTTAACAGTCTCGTAAGAAAACAGTATTCTAAGTCCAGGTAAAAAGTAAAGCATTGAAGAACAGAAAATCCCGTAAGAATTAGTTTCTTTACTAGAGTGTTATGCTTCCTTTAGCATCCTTTCGGATTGGCTACACATTATAATATGAATTCCCACAGGATTTCCGCGCGGAGCTCTTTCTTGAGGGTTTTTAGGACTAGGGAAAACCTGATGAACTTTTCAAAATGCAGGATTAAAACTGTATTTACTTGATTCTGTTCAATTCTTCATGATGTGTGTTTTTGAGAGTAAAAAGTAAAAAGTTGTCTTTATATATATATATATATATATATATATGTGTGTATATATATATATCATTAAAATTATTATTTTTTTTTTGTATTATATATCATTAAAAAAAATTTTTTTTTTATTGTAATATTCTAGTATTGAGCAGTTTCAGCTGGAGCGCAAATGTGACCGCAAAGCATCAAAATATATCAGGTCAGGAGCACATCAAATAGTTTTGGCAGATGTTTTTAGTTGTTTTTATACAGATATGAGGACAAAATAGAGCTGTTGCGATGTTAAAATGCTTTCAAATGAGAGAAATGCATGGTTTTCCAGATGTGTCACTATAAATTCTTTTGATTTTACTCACGGTATCAGATATTAAATTACAACATGTGAATCACTTTGTAATTCTCACCACATTATTGGTAATATCATCATCATTATTATGTCGATCGCTTTGTAAATAAAGGAAATGTATTGTAAAATACAGGTCAGATGAAACCAAACCAGGGTTTTTTTTGTTGTTTTTTTTTGTTTTTTAATAAAGCATAAAAGTTTTCTGTTTTACTGCACATCTAACCTGTCTAATCTTGTGATTTGGGGTGATGCTCACATCTGTCTGACTGGAACCATATCACAGCTCTTCTGCAGGGGTTGGGGGGGGGATACAGCTGTCTGTGTAATTGCTGATTAATTAATCAGTGAGGCTAACCCTCGGATTAATTCTATTAGAGTAATCAAAAACAACGGATGACAAATGGCAAATTACAGGAGGCTGAGATTGATTACTGACTGGTGTAATTATGCCAGCGTGTTATGGAAATGAAGAGGGGGATCAGCGCTCGCTGTGAATGAGCGAGATAATCCCTGATATCGCTCTCTTTCTCTTTCTCTGGACGCAGCTCAAATGGGACATGCGGAGAAAGGTGAGTCGTAAATCCATGCCGCTATCATCATCATTGCCATCATCATCATCATAAACATCTGTCCAGGGCATCTGTGTCTGAGTACTTGACCCAATGACCTCGTCCTGATGTGCCGCTCTGTCAGCCTCAAGTCCACATGAGCTGCGGGGTTTGCGTGACTGTGAGCCGCAGTAATGCACACAAACATATCAACGTATAATTCAGCTGTGTTTACCCCCTAAATGCACACTAACAGGAAAGCCATCACTTCCCAGAATTCCCTCGCAATCAGCTTTCAAAGCAAAAGCGCTGGAGTCGTGTTTGTAATCGTCTTGATTCTTTTACCCAGGTACATTCAGAGTACATTTCATTGCAGGCTGTCATAGAAACATGATTGCAGAGAAGGACAGAGGGAAAGTTTGCTTTTACATTTCTTTAGTGGAGTTGGCGTGCCGACTTTGAAATGGTTTTAAAGGAAAGCCTTGTGAGCCGCACTCAGACACAATAGCATATTCTGCACATTTCTTACCCGACTGCGATTACACGATTGCACTGGCGTGTGTGGGTTTACAGCCGAGGTAAAACAAGGTCTTCCGTGTGACTTTAACAAGGCTTTTGTGCGTGGAGTCATGAACGGCTAGCTCATGGATTTGAATATAATGCTTTGCCTCTCGGGTCGTTGTCATCGGTGTGGATGTAATGATAGAGATGGGGTGTAAAGTGATGTTTAGTGAATCTGAGGAGGAATGGAAGAATATGAGCATGTGTTTTCGCCCCCGAGAGCTGAGATTCAGTGTAACGGTCGTCTAATCAGCCCAGCGGGAATGAGCCTGATGCTCCTGGAGAACAGCACTTGACTGTATGTCAGCTGTATGGAGCTTTTTTGAACATTGTATTTTTTTAACATGTATTAGCCAATAAAAAGAAAAAACAATTGATTTGATCTATCAGTCAATCTGATTGGACTGTGAAAAGTCACTATATAGAAAAGTCATCATGGAGGCAGAGCAAGTTGTCACATTTTGATGAAAGCATGCATAAGCAAGCATTTAAAATGCATGGAACGATTGCAATGTGTACCAGTGAATCATATTCCCAGTAAGAGCAGGAACACGATTTAAAGAGATAGTTCACCCCAAAATGAAAATCTTGTCAACATTTTTTCACCCTCAAGTTGTTCCAAACCTGTATGAATTTCTTTCAGCTGTTGAACACAAAAGAAGATAATACAGTAACCAAACAGTTGATGGTAGCCATTTACTTCCGTTTTATGGTCAATGTCAAGTCAATGGCTACTGTTTGGTTACCAACATTCTTCAAAATATCTTCTTTTTTGTGTTGCAAACAAGCTGAAGGAAGTGACTCGTACAGGTTTGGAACAAGTGGCAGGTGAGTAAATGACGATAGAATTTTCATTTTTGGGTGAACTATCCCTTTAAGTTCAAATTGTTCCGCATCATATAGAGTGGGGGAACTATGACGTCACTTTGTATGCGGATGGGCTGTTAGCATCGCACTGGTTCCCTCGTCAAAAAGCCTATAGGATTTTTCCATAGGCTTTTGGATTATCGCAAAAAATAAGCTCTGTGTTCAACCATAGTTCATGAAACTTACACGTTTTTTCTTTCAGCTGTTGAACACAAAATATGCTGATAACCAAACAGCTGACGGTAGCCATTGACTTCTGTAGTGGAAAAAAATGCTATGGAAGTCGATGGCTACCGTCAGCTGTTTGGTTACCCACATTCTTCAAAATATCTTCTTTTAGTGTTCAGCAGAAGAAAGAAACTCGTACAGGTTTAAAACAAGGGTGAGTAAATGATGACAGGATTTTCAATTTTTGGGTGAGCTATCTCCCTAAGAAAGTAAATAGTGTCAAATTGAGTCTCACAGGCAACATCCAGTGGCATTTGCAACCAAATTGGGCAATAATATTATTGGTTAATAATAATTTCCCATATGCACCAACAGAAAGAGGTTACATTTTGATTTTTTTTTTTTATATCATGCACAAGACCAGAGCGAGACATGAAAGAAAGAACAGTTTTCATGTGAATGTGTCGTGCTCACGTGCCGCCTGGCAGCGCATCCCATCTGCAGAGCAGTATGTGCTTGTGTTGCTGGCAGGTCACAGAGGGCCTTGTGTCTGTGTTAAATCACAGCTCCGGCCGCGGACGCAAGTTGCTTATCACAGCAGCTGCGAGAGAGCGCCGCACATATTTTGCAGACTCGCTACAAAATCTATTTACAGCAGACAGGTATTGTCTTCGGACAGCGTTTTTTCTCCTCGTTGAAGTTTCTCAGATTATGCACGAAAAATCAATACCTGACAAGTACGCCAGGCGCTTTAGTGTTTCATCTGATGCAGCTGTATGGATTTTTAATCCAGTCCTGCATAACGACACACAGTCTTCTCGGCTCATGCTGAGGTATTGTCAGCACGAGTTGATGCTCAGTGAATGTGAATAAATGAAGTTATTCTCATTAGAAATGGAGCTGAGTTGTCAGCGGTAGGGTTGGGTTGAATCAGTTCTCATTTCAATGAACTGATATTGATTCTTAAATGCCAAGAATTGATTTATGTTGTTTTCAGTTGATGTGTGAACAAAACTTCACAAAACATTATTTGTGCTTTGTGCTTTGTTACTTTTTTGAATTCTGTCAAATTTATTGCAAAATACAAGCAATAGGCTTTGGAGCTCTTTGATGTGTCGTGAGAGATCACTGTCTTGACTCAATCCAAGCACATGTGAACCAATCGTCTCTTCCTCTTTACTACTAGTTACTGCATAAAATCGACATGAATGGTCAGCGTTGATAGCCTAGTGGTTAGCGCACTGACATATAGCACAACTGCACCTCTGGCAACCCAAGTTCGAATCCCGACTTGCGGCCTTTTGCCAATCCCGTTCCCAACTCTCCACCCCATGATTTCCTGTCGTTCTCTACTGTCCTGTCCACTAAAAGCATGAAAAAGTAAAAAAAAACGTAAAAAATGAACATGAATGAAAATCAGAGTGTTGAAAGAAACAATGATGTAGCTACTAAAAATGAATCATGTCTCAAACTAGTTTTTATGACATCCACTGATAAATAAACATCATTGAAAGTTTATATAGTGTTTTATTATATAAGAATATTGTTATTATTATAAAAACTGCCCTTTGTGCAAGTTAAATGTTTGTTTACAAATCACTGTAATATTAATGTACCAAGCAATAGTATTCCCTGTATAGTTTACAGCATTAGTTGAGTGATTTTATTCCTTGAAAAAAGTTGACGTACTGTACATGATATCCTATTTAATCAATATCGAATGGAATCAAGAAATGTAATCAATGTTGATTGAAATGTAATAAATTCCCAAGCTTTTGAATCAAATTGTGACTTTTGTGTCAATGCCCAGCCCTAGTCAGTGGTCCATGCGTTGAGTAACTTTGTTCACTAGTGTCCTTAAGGTCATTTCACATTTACATTCCTCAGTGCTGCAGCCGTTTGAGCTGTTCACTTTTCAAAGTGCAGCTAATAATTATTGGCCAATGTGAATAATGTATCATTATGTGAAAACCAAAAAGACATGGAGGAGAGATTGAATGTGTGTGTGTGTGTGTGTGTATCTAGATACTACATGCTGTATGACACAACTTAAAAGGCATATTGACATACATATAATAATCAGCATATTATGCACATTAGAAATCACATGTAAATGATTAAATAGTAAAATTGCCCTTCAGTGACTCTATCTGGAACTCTTTTCTTGTTAAGGTCAAAGTGCTGCATGATGTTTTTGCAGAGACGTGCGTTGACGCTCAAATCATGTGAAAGAAGAGGATAAACAGTGATGAATGCCATTCTTTGATAGAGTCTGTGTAGTGTAATCTATGTATTTTCATGAGGGTCATGGGCTCAAGGTGCTGTGAATGACTCTCAGAGAAGCACATGCATTTCTAGAGAGAGAGAGAGAAATGGGGAGAAGAAAAGAAGCGGTGAGCTTGTGAGACGTGAAGAGGAGGTTGTTTGTGCTGGAGCTGTGTGCTCTTTGTGGTGGCAGCACTTTGAGGATTAGAGCAGTAATGGGCAGCAGTGCTGTAAGCTCCTTTAGAGAGCTGACCGGCCCGTCCCGAGAGCCCCTGTCTCTGCACGGATTGAGGATTTGGTCATTAGATTGTTTTTGTTTTATTTTGTTTCTGCTCTGTCCCCGGGCTTTAAAGAGTGCCATGTTGTGATTTGTGACCATCCTGATATCCATAAAGATTATGATGATGGTGGTGATTATCAAATTAAGCCCGCAGAGCTGATCGTGAGCTCTCTTTGAAGGAAAACATCCTCTCTCTCGCTCGCTCACTCGCTCTCAGCGCTACGCCAAAGGCTGTGTGCCGGCGTCATGTCGTTACTCACAGGAGGAGTGTGTTGCTCTCAGGTTGCTCTTTCAGAGCTCAGGAGACTTCATGAGCTTCTCAGGATGGCTACGTATCAAGTATCAGTTTTGTCCCAGATGTTTCTCTGTAAATTCCTTAGGAGAAATAAAATGAGATTGTTGCTTTTGGAACTGAGGTTGATGAGTCTTATTGGGATTTTTGATGACTTTGAAATGAAGTCTGAGCACAGTTTGAGATGTGGTTGAGATCTCTTCTCTAACTTTAGACACAGAGGAGACTTTCTAAAGAAAACGCTTGAGATTGCTGGGATCATTTGTTCGGGAGAAACATCCGAGAAGCAGGAGATTCGTCAGCAAGCAAACATTTGTGATTAAAAAAAGAAGAAGAAAAGAAGAAGAAGAAGATTAAAGAAGATTAAAGAAATGTATTTTTTTATTTATGTTCTCTCTATGTTGGTGATTCTGAGCACAATATGAGACACTGCAACTCAAGAAGCAATGAGAGTAAAACATCTGAGAAGCAGGAGATTCTTCAGCAAGCAAACATTTCCATTTTGCAATTAAAAAAAAAGTTTTGATTTCTCATTTTTTAATTTTCTTTATGTTCAGAGCACAGTGTGAGACGCTGTTGAGATTTGAA